TCCCTTGTCCGGTAGTGTTGTGTTTACACGCTGTCAACCCGTCTGCCTGTTCCTGAGCTTCCTTCATTAAAGTTACATGTTAATTATACCTTCCTCCTCGTCTTCCTTGGATTACCCTCGTGACAGTATCCAGATAAGTTATCCGGATAATAAAAAATGCATGTTAATGCAAGGTGTAAATGCCTTGTGATCGGATTGTGATTGGATCTGGCTGACCACATCCGGAGGTAGTCTGGCTCGCATTGTGTTCAGATCTTTATTAGGTGTAAACGCAAAACTGATTTTTGTTAATGTTCATTGCTTTATGTGTTTGACCTGCTAAAATCCTGATTTATAACTGCGACATGATCTGACAAAAAATCAGCATAAAAGAGCGGCTAACGTTAAATGCAGTGATTTTGCATATTTTAACGCACAGCACAGGGTCGAAACAAATGACGAACAAATCAGCTGCGGTAAATTACGTTGCGGCCTAAAAGGACTTTGGTTACGGTCAAGAGTCAAAGACATCAACTGAACTGTGGCTTCTTTCGGCCAAGACACCAAAGAAAGACGATCATGTGCCGAGAGAGCAAGACCTCGTGGTGGCGTATTGGTGATATATTTTTAACTGGATGTTAGCGAAGGATTATTAGGCAAAAAAATAAAGTGACAAAATTGATTCGTTAGCAACATTGGTTGTGTGCGCGCCTGTGAGAGACTAACGTTGGGCCAGGGAGGGGCGGGTACGCGACAAATGCCTCGTTTTAATGGGTCATATTATTTATAATATCACAAATTATATGTCATAATATTGGCATGAATCAGATGTGACCAAACACATTCGCATAGAGTCAAACAACAAAATTTAAGAAAAGCAACTTTTCTTACCGTCCACTGCGTTCTCGTTTGCATGTCCATGAGTTTCAGATGCTGTTCGGTCTGGGACATTAGAATTAGAAGTTAAACCATCCACCTCATTGGCAAGTTTTCTAAGAATATTGGCTATATCTGCCATTGTCCTACTTGAAGTAATTATTGTGTAATATCTGGTAATATGCAAGATGTTAAAATGGCGCCACAGAAGCGAATTAAGCGGGACTAAAGCCTTGGTCTCTCTAACTGTCCAATGACAGTGCGAGTTACATTTGATTTGCAAGCGGGAGACAGGCGAAAGGTGATTGGTTGCTCCCACGTGTGTACTGTCCAATGGCATTTTTTAACTCGATTGACAAATGGATAAAGAAAAGCATTTGGCAAATAGATAGAGAAATGGTTTGACAAATGCTTTAAAAAGGTGATTTAACATGTGCCTTTAAAATAACTTATTTAAGTATGTTTTTATTGTTTTATTAATCTACGTTTTAAAACATGAATTAAATAAACAACTTTATAAATGTCTATTAATTTGTCCATTTAAAAGTGATTTATGTATATACATTTTTATGTGTGAATTATTAAATTGATATATTGAATCTTCATTTAATTTTTTAAGTGGCACTCCTGGTCCTCTATAGTATGCAGGAGTGATCTTAATATCTTAAATATCTTAATTTGTGTTCCGAAGATGAACGAAGGTCTTACGGGGTTGGAACAACATGAGGGTGAGTAAATACTGACAGAATTTTCATTTTTGGGTGAACTAACCCTTTAAAACAATATCTAAGGCTGCATCAAAAGGTAGCTTCACGTCCGCTGCCATGTTGAATCCAAAGGTATAAACAAACTGCGGCGGTGTGTTGCATAGATGTTGTCATCGTCTTGCTGCTCCCTCCCCATTCTGTGATTGGTTCCCTAAATGAGGCGAAAATCTGGCCACGGTATCCATACTGTCTTTCAGCGTGAATAAAGCAGTATTCGTATGGGGTTCGTATGGTAGGCAGTATGGGGAAACCCAGACTAACATGATGCACCACAGTATGGTCTTTCATGGCTTATTCTAAAGCCTGATCTGTCCACTGTTAATCCTTCATGCACTTTGCATACATCTTAAGTTACCAATATGTTGGTAGATAATTGGTCAGTGGCTGGGCCAATGCCCAGTGCATATTTGTAGGTGTCTAGGGCATGTTTTTCATTGTCTCTTCCCACTTAAATGTTTTTAATCTCTGACATGATTGTTCTGATTACAGTGTTTGAGGGTTTCTCTAGCCTTACAGGTTGCCAGCATTACAGTCTTTACCTCCACTCTGTCTGCCTCTTCCTTGGTAAAGGTTAGTTTTTCAAACCACAAGGAGTGGTGTGGAGCCTGCATATTTACTGAAAGTACTCAGCACCACAGGACATTCATCTGTCACGTGTAGCATTTGTTCCTGTTGGCTTGCTAAGACTTTCTATAGTATCCAGCTGCAGACCCGCAGCACCACCAGAACCCCAGACCAGAAGTAAGGGCGGAGCTTACGTTCTAACACAGCACCAGAACCGGAAGTTGGGGCGGAGCTTGTGTTCTAACACAAGTCAGAACCGGAAGTGGGGGCGGAGCTTATGTTTTAAACCGAGTAAGGCCAGTTAATGTTTTTGAGCATAATTTGCTTAGACACTAAACAGTATGCTTTTTTTACACATGAAACGTCATACTTTATACGTATATTATAATGATACAAAACATAGGGCTTCACCAGATTTTTATATCGTGGTCCGTTGTATGCATTTATATTTACTGGTTATTTTTTTCATAATATTGAC